ACAACAACAACATCCCAGCCGCATGCAACAACAACATCCCAGACGCATGCAACAACAACAACAACATCCCAGCCGCATGCAACAACAACATCCCAGATGCATGCAACAACAACAACATCCCAGATGCATGCAACAACAACAACATCCCAGATGCATGCAACAACAACAACATCCCAGATGCATGCAACAACAACAACAACATCTCCGTTGTGACGACGTGGAGACTGTTGTTGAGATCGGTGTTGCTCACGGGACAGGGTTCGCCTCCAGTTGTACACCGGGTTACGTCTCGTGGTGAACACTCACAAGCAGACGAGACTCCACCACCATCATCACCACCATCACCACCATCATCATCAACATTATCACCACCATCACCACCATCATCATCACCACCATCACCACCATCATCATCACCACCATCACCATCACCACCATTACCACCATCATCATCATCACCACCATCACCACCATCATCACCATCATCATCACCACCATCATCATCATCACCACCACCATCATCATCACCATCACCACCATCATCATCACCATCACCACCATCATCACCACCATCATCATCACCACCATCACCACCACTACCACCATCATAACCACCACCATCATCAACATCACCACCATCACCACCACTACCACCATCATAACCACCACCATCATCAACATCACCACCATCATCACCATCACCATCATTAGCTTCCCGTAGAGTGTGACGCTAAAGCCGATAGAAACCGGCCATATCTCGCTACCGTGGGAACTGTAAAGTATGTCAATATGCGCACACCAATAATCATTCTAATGTATAATGCGTATTCCATCCAAGGATCCCAATGTGTGTGTGTCTGTGGGGAGCGGTAGTGCAGCGGTTAGCGCGCCGTGCTACGAACCTGGCGTCCCGAGTTCGATTCCTGCTCGCGGTCAACACCACGTGACGATTGCCTGAACCGGTCCTGGGAACAAGGGAGCCAAAGGTGTCGGGGCGTGGTGCTGGCCACCCACCCTCCCGTGTGTGCCGTGCCGGCCTTCGCAGGTCCTACTCGCTAACGGCACTTGCCTCAACAGTCGATTGAAGGCTACACGGGGGGTCTTTGCCTTTGTTTACGCACAGACAAGTCGAATTCGAGTTTTACCATCACGTGCCTCGCTTCTCTCTGACTTGTCCCGAAACAGTTTGGCAAATTCCATATTCCCACGGCGGGGGAAGGTCGATCCATTCTAGGATCGCTGTTGACTTCTGGCGAAGTGGCGCGGGAGTTGGGAGTCGAGTAGCAGTGAGGTGCGTAACGCGTGTTGTAACGCGTGTTGTAACGCGTGTTGTAACGCGTGTTGTAACACGTGTTGTAACGCGTGTTGTAACGCGTGTTGTAACGCGTGTTGTAACGCGTGTTGTAACGCGTGTTGCGTGTTGTAACGCGTGTTGTAACGAGTGTTGCGTGTGTAACGCGTGTTGTAACGCGTGTTGTAACGCGTGTTGTAACGCGTGTTGTAACGCATGTTGTATCTAGAGCGCTTATTCAATATACCTTTTGTTATAATACGTCGGCAGTGGTGCACAAGCACACAACACCGCAACATAGGCAACGTTTCTGCCAACGACCCTTCTTCATGGCAGAGGGTTGCTATAGCGGAGGGCCCGAAACGTCGCCTATTGTGTCCGGTGTTTCTGGGGCAGTGCCACTGACGTCTGCGACACGCTGTCCACTGACTGGTGTGTGTGTTAGTTCGATTCCCGCTCACGGCTAACACCAGTGACGATTATTTGAACCGGTCCTGGGCTTCCCCTAGGTCGACTCAGACTTAAATGAGTACATGGTGCGCTGTGTAAAGATTGCTACTTATGGAGACAAAGGCGGTCGGGCGTGGTGTTGGCCACCGGCCCCCTCGTGTGCCGTGCCGGCCTTCATAGGCGCTACTCGCTAACAGCACTTGCCCCAACAGTCTGTTAAGGCTACACGGGTGATACGCGTCTTTGTCTCTACGTCGTTGCCACGTGCGTGTTGGTTTCCAACCGGGATGGATACCCTCACGAGCGAGATTGTTCCATCACAAGGGATTTTTCAAGTGAAATATTTTAATAATAAAAAATAAATGCCTCGATTGTCAACAATGAGGCTTGGAGCAATGTTTCCAAAGTTCGGACTCGACTCCGGTATTGTACTGTATGTATATATGTGTGCCGTGAGTATTGTGCATATATAACACATTATATATATGGTCTACTGATAAACAAAAACTACAATCTTACATTCGTCAATAACACTACCTGAATAGGCGACGTTTCGGGCAATGATCCTTCTTCACAACACGCAGAGGTCCATAGAGGTAGGGAGGTAATTAGGGATAAAATTTGTTCGTATGCACCTTTTAAAATAAGCACGTGTATCGAGCTTGCGATGATGACAAGTTCCCAGGGTTTAATACAAATCGGATCTCTCCGGGTCGGATACCCGGGACGATATATTTCCTCCTCCTCTGGCACACCACATCCAGTATTGTACACATGTCGCTGCACGCATTAAAGCTTTATACTCTTCCGCGTGCCACCCACTCCAATCGACACACAACGACTCGCAAAATACGACGTGAGAAATTATTCCCCCTAATTCACGAGAAGTAATAATCCTTGTTTAAAATAGGGGGGGGCAGGGGGGGGGGACTAAACAATTTGGACGTTTAACTCTCCGGGGAATATTGCGCGCTCGGTGCTACGGGGGGGCGGGGGGGGTCTCAGGGTGAGCGCCACCGCCGTGGCCAGATGTGGAGCTCGCCGTGATGATTCTCTTATTGCTCAATTAGGCGAGACAATGGGTGAGGGGGGATGTGGGGGGGGGCTACCGGGGGCTCCGCGTTTCGACTCTCGTCACAGCGAAATGGTCCCCACCGGCCCTAGACAGAGGAGGAGCCTTTGCCAAAGTGTCGCAAAGACAATCACAATAACACGACAATAATTGGCACGCAGATGTTTGCACGCAAACACCAATTAGCGTCGCTAACGCGCAAGAGCGGCGCGGAGGGTTGGAGCGGTGGCGCAGTGGTTAGCGTCGCGAGGCGCTGAGATCACGGCGGACCTGAGCTTAATTCGCGTCCACGGCTAACGTCAGTGGCGAGTCGCATCTGGTTCAGTTCACACCTCCCTCCCCAAATGTTCACGATCTCGTACCCCCCAGCGTGGCGAAGTATGGTCAAACACAATCCCCAGGACCGACACGGCGTGCAAGAGGCTGTCATCCAGCAGTGGAATGATAACGCATTGTACATTACACGATGGCATCTACACCCATCGTCTTTCCATCAATCACCGTCTCCACCCCCCCCACCCCCAACACGAGCAATCTGTATGAGTTGCTAAGTGTCTGTGTGGAACGTGTAATACATATCGACCATCGACACTGAGTGACGGATTTGAATCACGTGTTGTAGAAGGGCGAGAACTCTGAAAGGTGGCACACACACACGTCTGAGTATACGCATAGAAATAGCAACAGTTGAATCCTGTTTTTTTTATTACAAAAAATATTCAATTAGTTTCTTACAAAAAATATAATTCCCTATTATTAATGTGCACAGACATTGATTTGTCTTCGGTCGGGTTACGCACCGAGCGAAAGATGCACGCGCTGACGTTGACAGCATCGCATCTGCGATTATAGGGTCATTGTTGGTAGACCGTGAGCGCCACTGTGGTCATGATATGTTAACTACCTCGCCTGGTATACAGGAGGTCGTGGGTTCCATCCCGACCCTGACGCCTGCTGCTGTATATTCGAAGTGTGCATGTTCTCCCCGTGGTCGCGAGGATTTTTCCCCGGGTCCTTCGGTTTTCCCCTGAACATTTAGAAACAACGTTCGCTTTGAGTATTGGGCCGCTATAAATGTCCATAAGCTACTTCGTTGAGCCGTCATGTGTGGCCAGGTCGCTTCTGAAAAGGAGCTTCATAGCTGAGTGGGCCTTACCTGGTAAAATGTAATAAATGTGTTTAGTTTTATAGTTTTTTTGCGTTTTCGCCAGAAATTGGACGGATAGAAATAAACGTAGCAACGTCTCGAACGCCGTGGAAATCGAGCAAGTGCGTCTGAACGCTGCTGCTGCTGATGACGACGGCGTTCATAGCATCACCATGAATGAGGATCGTGTTTTTAAATCAGGCAATGGTTTTAAAACGACAGCCGTTGCTATGGTTATAAGACGTTAACGCGAATACATTCTTTATTCAAGATGACACTGACAATGATGATGTACTAATAATTTGACGAAATTGCTACAAATCGCCGAGAGAAGTTGAAAAGAAGACATACAACGATCTGTGACTTTGCATGCGCATGATGATAGCACGTTAGTTTTGTTACACTTTTGTACACACGTGATGATAGTTTTTAGATGAATGACTTGATTGTTTAGTATACTCATGCTAATAATTACAATGACTATGAGTCTATAAATGTTATGTATATGATTGCAGATGTATTCTTATACGAATGATTTAATGCGTATAAACATTTGTGATAGTTTAATGTTCTTGATTACGATGAAAACGACGATGATGATTACGATTGCATCATCTTTGCTTTTATTAATTCTAAATTAACGATGATCAAGAAAACTTGATAACGTTGTCATTTGTATACTTTTAACATCTCATCATGATGACGACGATCCGTTTATAGTCGTTTTTTATACTTACGTGTACTCAATGATTTTGATGAAAACAGCTTGACGATTTAAGATCGTACAAATAATACTTTCGTTTTATATAGCGTCATTCATGCTCATAGCATCCCATAACATTCATAAATAATAACCATGAATAGTATGACGATTATTATAATAATCTCGATAATAACCTCGACAAAACTCGCGATTCAATACTCGTAACGACAAACATCCGCAACGACAACGAAGACTCCCTTCACGCACTCCGCCCACCCACCCAGCCACCCACTAATCTCCCTCCACCCCCGTCTCGCCCCCCTGCCGCTCTTCTCAGGACGAGCCTCGCTTTGGCTCCACACCTCTGGCCATGCTGGCCGCCACGTGCAACAAGATCGGCGGGGCCTCGGCGAGACCCACGGCGCTGGCCGACCACTGCTCCTCCCCGCTGGTCGCCAGGGCCGGCTTCCACCCCTGGCGACGGCCCCCGGCATTCGCCGCCTCCTCGGCCAACGCGTGCGGAGGGCTGGCTCGGGGCATGATGCTGAGCAGCGGCGCCAACAGCGGCAGCAGCAGCGGCACCGTCAGCTGTCACAGCAGCAGCGGTGGCAGCTGCCACGGCAGCGGCGGCAGCAGTAACGGCGTGGGCAGCAGCAGCAGCGGCGGCGGTGGTGGCAGCGACCCGTACGCGTACACGCAGCTCAGCGCGTTCTCGCTCGCCAACCCCGGCTCCTCCTCCTCGTCTTCCCACGGGGACTACTCGCTCTTCCACGCGCCCTGCACCTCGTCCGCGTCCTCCTCCTCCGCGTCCTCCTCCTCCTCGTCGTCGTCGTCTTCGTCGTCGTCGTCCTCGTCGGCGAACGAGCCGCCACCGCAGTCCGCGTTCGTCTCCAAAGTGCCCGAGAGTCTCCCGAGCATGTACCCGCGCATGCACGCGCACCCCTACGAGTCGTGGTTCAAGCCGGGCCACCACGGCCCGCACCACCCCCACCACCACCACCCTCACCACCACCATCACCACCATCACCACCACCACGCGGCCGCCATCGCCAGCGAGGTGGTGGTGGCCGCGGCCGCCGCGGCCGCTGCCGCGGGCGGAGGAGGCGGCGGTGGCGGAGCCGGCGGGGGCGGAGCGGCCGCGGCGGCCGCGGCTGCTGCGGCGGCCGCTGCGGCCGCGGCGGCGGCCGGAGGAGGAGGAGGAGGGGGCGGAGGAGGCGGAGGAGGTGGAGGAGGAGGCGCGAGCGGCGCGTCGGCGTGCTGGTGGGACGTGCACCCCGGCGCGCCGGGAGGTTGGCTCGAGGTGTCCCACAACATGCCGCTCAACGGCTACGCGAGCGACTTCTCGCTCGGCCCGTCCGCGTTCGGGGCGACGGCGTCCCCGCACCTGCTGTCGGCCGGGCAGCACCTGCTGGCGCAGACGCAGGACGGGTTCAAGGCCATGCAGCTGCCTCCCTACGCGGAGCCCTCCTCGGCCATGGCCGCGTCGCTCATGGCGCACGGCGCGGGGGCGCTGGCGGGCGCCGGTCCCTCGTCGCACCACCCCTCCTCCTCCTCGTCGTCGTCGTCGTCCTCCGCCTCGCACTCGTCGCACTCCTCGTCGTCCCGCGGCTCGAGTCGCCGCTTCGCCGGGCGCGCCACCTGCGACTGCCCCAACTGCCAGGAGGCGGAGCGGCTTGGGGCCGGCGGGCGCCAGCCTGCGCCGCAAGGGCCTCCACAACTGCCACATCCCCGGCTGCGGCAAGGTGTACGGCAAGACGTCGCACCTCAAGGCGCACCTGCGCTGGCACACGGGCGAGAGGCCCTTCGTGTGCAACTGGCTCTTCTGCGGGAAGCGCTTCACGCGCTCGGACGAGCTGCAGCGGCACCTGCGCACGCACACGGGCGAGAAGCGATTCGCGTGCCCCGTGTGCCACAAGAGGTTCATGCGCAGCGACCACCTGAGCAAGCACGTGAAGACGCACAGCGCCACGGGGGGAGGAGGAGGAGGAGCCGGAGGAGGAGGAGGAGGGGGAGGAGGCAAGAAGAGCAGTGAGAGCGACACGGAGAACAGTAACTGCAACACCCCAGGATCGCCCGCAGAGCCCCTGGCGAGCGAGGGACGGACCGCGAAGTGTGCCGCTGTGATGGGGCGTCACGGGGGATCCGGGAGCGGCAGGGATGAGCGCTGATGATGATGATGGTGGAGGTGGTGGAGGAGAAGGGTGATGAGGATGATGGAAGTTCGCACTGAAGCATCGTGTATATTGAATGTATACACAGACGGTACGAGAAGTGACGGACTGTTAATGTTACTTTATATAAACGGTGGTGATGATGAGATGATGATGATGATGATCAGGAGCGGCTATGGTGCCGGACGTCGCATTAATGTTGTTGTATCTGCAGTGTCTCCACTTGCACGTGGCTACAGCGAGTTGGGCATTGCTCATGTATTCGGTTTTTTGTTTGTTATAAACGGCGGTGACGATTGTGTTTAATGATGATCACCGTTCTCACATCATTGTTTGTGATAGGTAAATTATACACGTGTTTCAAGTAATAATTCACCATTAAAATAATCGCACTTTCTAAGTGAAATTACAATGATTCCGTGTCGACTTGATGAACGTAATGACATTTCATTATCCTCATCAATATGCTTTACGTGCGTACAGACATACTATTAATTAGGGTTATAATCATCATCATAGTCGCCATCGTTTATATGAACATTCGAGTACAACTCTAGCAATGATCGCACGTGCAGACAACGTTGTTATGGTGTGTGTATATATATACTGTATACTGTAATGTGTATACTGTTCCGAAATTTGCATTCCTGTAAGTAGCCGTATAACGCGTCTCCGTCTCGTGTAGTTTGGCGAGTTCAGAAGTTCTGGCTCGGTAATTCAGCTCTCGCATTATCTCAACACGACCGTCGATTTGAGTTGCCGCAGACAAAGTCGCTTCCCACTGCCACCCGCCGCCCCCGCCCAAAGCCATCCGCAGCGCTTCCAATTAGCCTCAAGGCGGCAGCAGCAGCAGCCACCGATCAACGTGAATCCGTTTGCATTCATCTCGTGTGCTCGCTGCTCGCTTCGACTTGGTTCGTTTCCCAGTCCGCTCGTGCTGCTGAGAGACGCGGCAGCGGCGGCGTGTTGAGTCGTGGCGGTACAAAAGCTCCCTGTCCCCTGGCCACAGACTTCAGCACGACTACACTATACACTACACTACTATACACTACACTACTATACACTACACTACTATACACTACACTACTATACACTACACTACTATACACTACACTATACACTACACTCTATACGACTATACACTTTCCACTACACTACTATACACTACACTATACAATACACTACACACTACTATACACTACACTATACACTCAACTACTATACACTACACTATACACTACTATACACTACACTACTAAACACTCCACTACTAAACACCACACTATACACTCAACTACTATACATTACTATACACTACACTATAAACTACACTACTATACACTACACTATACACTACACTATACACTACACTACTATACACTACACTATACACTCAACTACTATAACACACTATACACTACACTATACACTACTATACACTACACTATAAACTACACTACTATACACTACTATACACTACACTACTATACACTACACTATAAACTACACTACTATACACTACTATACACTACACTATAAACTACTATACACTACTATACACTACACTATACACTACACTATAAACTACACTAATAAACACGCGTTCCCAGGCCAGCCGAGCGGCCGAGTCCCGCCAGCAGGATCGTGGTCCTGGGCCGGCCCCGGGGCCTCCTGCTCGGCAGCGTTCTCCTCGCTTGCCGCCGCCACGTCGCCGTCTTCGTCGCCAAGTGCACGCGTGCGTGCGCACTCTTCTGGCCGCAAGACAACACTCGGAGCAGTGGTTCGGAACCCACTTAGTGAGGTGACATGCCCCCTGAGGTTCTACCGGAATTGGCATCGATGTCACCCGGTGACCATTGAAAGCAAACCGTGGGATTTGAACGGGATATTTTAAGAAAAAAAACATTAATGTATATTCCGGATTAGCTTCAGTCAGAGTTGGCAACTCTATAGCCCTCTACAACCCGGTAAACATGGAACGTTGGGGCCACGTCGGGCCAATGGATGGAACCACGTGGCAATGTTGGTCCAACGTTGCTATGGATACTGGGACGTCTCTGGTCAACACGCGCTGAGAATCGCCGGTGGAAATTGGGATTGAACGCAACGAAATATTAAAATAAACCCACGTGCCATGAATTGACCATCTGCAACAGATAGAACGCATCTTTTTTTCTGTCACTAAGATGTAAAGATTATTAGACGTTTCGGCTGACGATCTTCTTCGTTAACCTAACATCATCGACATAATTCTTGTTCAACGACATTATTGAATTATTTACAATAAGACGAGAGCAAGCAGCATTGGGAGGTATTCTTTAGAAAATAATCTTCATGAAATCAGGGTCCGTAAAATTAAAACTTGTATTTGGTAATGTCTAACCAGTGCGTCGATGGCTTTTACCGCCTTCTCATCGACACAACATCAAAGCTTGTACCTTCAGCGAACCGGTTGTTCATTGCGTGTTAGTCACTGTTAACCCTGGCCACCTGAGTTTGATTCCTGGCCACGGGAAACGTCATGTGGCGAGTGGAATCTGAACCGCTCCAGAGCCCCCAACTCCACTAACCCGCCACTGACTAGCGTGGCGAAGTACAATCAAACAATCCTCCAGCAGTGGATTGACAAAACCTCTGAAATTCATCCTCTTTGGTTCTTTCGGTAAAGTCACGTAGATAGAAAAATAATTTATAAAAAAAATAAAAACATCAGGATGACGACCGCTTGTGTTGCGAAAGAAACGTTGTGGTTTGTATTGTATTATTTTTATTGACTTGTATTTTATCTACGTGACTTTGCGGAAATAACCAAAGAATATGAATTGCTACAGTCACAAAAAGTTTTAAGTCAAAATTTAGCTCTGAAATTATTGAGTTGCATTTGAGGTGTAATATTTCTCTCCGTGTTATTAATAGACGCACTGTTTTATACACGAGCAAAACGCACGTTCTTTGGACGTGACCGTTCGTTCCTCCCAGCCAGCAAAACTTTTAACTTAAAACAGAGCCACCTGTTTCCACCTTTCTCTTGCCTTCTCTGTTCTGTACATCGCAATGTCCGTCGATTTATCGATTTGTCTCCGTCTCTCAATTCCTCTGTCCGCTCTTCAACCTCTCTCCACCGCTATATTCCTCTCTTCCCTCCAATGTATCTCACCCACTTCCCTCCCCGCCCCGTCTCTCTCCCTGTCTCTAACTCTCTCTCACCTCCCACAAGTCGCTCTCCTTGTTCCCACCTCTCCCTTTTCCCGTCGCAATCTCTCTCGCCTCTCCCTACTACTCCTCCCCTTCCCCACTGTTCGTTGCGTTCCCTCCTCGCACTCCTCTTTCCGTTTTGCTCTCGATCTTTCCTCTCATTCTGACGCCCTTTTAAGTCTCTCCCAGCCCCTCCATCTCTTCCTCCCTCTGCTATCTCCCTCCCCCTTCGTTCCGTGGTTAGCCAGTTCGCTGTGACCCCACTGAAATCTATCTATGGGTTATAATCGTGGCCAGAAACCTGACCTACGCACCACTGCAGTCCGCGCTCATTGAACGCCGGAGGAACAGCCACACGACGTGAACTCTCTCACAAAGCCCCCAAGTCGTGGCGAGCAGCCCTCGACATTGGCATTTAGCTTCTGAACATATTGCCATCATACGCAAGAATAGAATAGAACCTCCCCTCCTCCATCTCCCTCCTCGATCGCATTTGCGCGAGATACACGGCAGGATGCAAGGGAGCGAAGCGGGGGTGTGACGTCCGCACCCATTAACCAGAATCAACGATGTGGGATGTGGGTGACGTCATCGCGCAAGTGTGCCCAGTGACGCCATTACTCGCGCACGTGCGTGCCAGCCAGGACAGGCAGGAATCCAGGAAGTACAGCCAGCAAAACTTTTTTTCTAATATATTATGATGCAGTCTATACATGCAGTTATGAATTCTATACGGCTCGAGTGCTGTTTTTTAAACATTATGGATGTCTATAAACTGTAGAAATGTGTCCGCGATTTTCCCATCGATCCGGAAATCAGGCCTTGATACGAAATTTCAGATGATCCGGAAAACACTTTTCCCTATCGGATGTATCCGAAAGGACGACGTCACGGGAAATGGGCATCACGTAATATGCCACTTGGCATCGGGTGACATCACTTTTGTTAGCGTCGAAGATACCTTCAATGATTTACAAACTGTAAATTATCTGACATTTTTGTAAAAAGAAACAACGAATTTTTAACAATCTGAAACTCATCCCAATTACACAGCATCGACTATGTACAGGAGCGCTGTAATATAGAGTGGTGTTCATTATAGTAATGCACTTTGCTATGTATTATGTATACTATATCATGGTTTGAACCCGCCCCGCTATCTTGTACTATATAAATGCAGTATATGAACTTATATATAAAGGATTCAATAGGGACTGTTTCTCTGATTTAGTTTAATATATATTATCTATGACCATTATCGCATGTGTTTCGGCAAATCTGGCTGGATTAAAATATACTTTTTTTTCTTAAGGTCCAATGTGTATTTTGCAATTGCTTTGTGTGTGTGTGTTGATGCAATCGTGTCATATGTCAATTGATGGCAATTACATATTAGAGTATTGTCATCCTGTCAATGCATGGACCCTCTTATCTGGATAATAAGACGCTCCGGAAAATAAGACGCGCCCAGAACTATGTGCCCGGTGTCACCCCCAACTTTTGCTTTAATTTAAATGGTAAATTGTGCGTCTTATAATCCGGACGATATGGAGCATACAGCACGTGCCTATGTAATTATAGACAGCTGTAATGAACAGACAGTTGAGTGAACTAAAAAGTTGCCGATGTAAACTATGATGGTGTTTTTGAAGGGCTAGACAGCTCAAATTCGGCACGAGTGTCGCCCAATCGACGCTTCTAGCGAGAAAAATCGACCGCACTCAAAACAGCCCACTCTGGATATAACACATTACCGCTTTAACACACGAACGGCACTCATAGATGTAACCACTCATACACGAACTTCCACATATTTCTACAAAACTCTATATTTAGAGTTGTATATATAGACGTGTTTGTATATATATAGACATAAATATACAAACACACTGACACTTGTACACTTAGACTTGAGAGTGTAGCCTCCTCTAACACACTTGACACTGCAAGACGCATTGACACGAGAACACACTCACACACTGACACTGCTACTCGAGCACACGGTGGCACACGTAAAAACAGACCACCACCACCCACAACCACACAATCATCCACAACCACACACAACCACTTACAATCATCCGCACACTACACACAACCATCCACAACCACCTCCTACATTCACCGCCCTACGCCCTCCAATACCGTCACCAAACACCAAACACAACCACGCACACCACCACCCTTACACAACCTCTACCCTCTCCACTCGACAAAGACAAAGATCCCCCGTATAGCTTTTACAGACTGATGGGGCAAGCACCATCAAGCACCAAATGAAGGCCGGCACGGCACACGAGGGGGTGGGGTGGCCAGAACCACGCTGGCTGCCTTTGTCTCCCTAATGTTGATGTTTACGCAATGCACCAGGTTCTCATTTGAGGCTGAGTCGAGCTAGGGGAGGCCCAGGACCGGTTCAGATAATCATCACTACTGTTGGTCGTTAGCGGGCACCAAACTCAGGTCGCCGGGTTCGTAACGCAGCGCGCCAACCGCTGCACCACCGCTCCCAGCACCATCACCATCTCGTACACCACCACCCAACAAACGTGAAATATCTTGTAGGTCACCGCCATATTCTTTAAATAAAGTAGTTTAAATAAATTTAGGTGAGTAAAAAAAACACAATTATAATTTAAATCTAATCATTATAAATTGAATGCAATGTTGTTAATTTGGGATTTGGGTTCGCGTTAGCCTCGGAGGTAGTGTTGAGGTTCAACCCGTGGGTGAATGCGGTCACGACGTTTATGATGATCACCCCATGGCAGAGGTCGCAACCGGGTACCCGATACTCGTACCCTACCCGATACCCGGTTACCCGTACCCGACCGGGTACGGGTAGCCGTTTGCGACCCTGGTGCGGCCGGGTACGGGTACGGGTAAGGAATCAAAACCCGTTTGCGACCTCTGCCCCATGGGGTGCAACCGGAGGCGCAGGTGAAGGCGGTGGGGCTCAGCTTGGATCCATGTGGACCCCAATGCGCTCGCAAGTGCAGCGGGTGCTGCCAGGCCAGCCAGGGGTCGGCCAAGCTGCGGCTCTTGCAGCACTGCTGCTTCATGTCGTCATCGATTCAGGGACCACGTCTCGTAGTCACCACCGCGCAATTCGGCTCTTGACATATTTAAGGGGTTTCTTTTTTTTGTACCGAATTCGAACAAAACATTTCTCTGCTTGGTGTGTTGGTTCCCGACCCGTGGACCAGAATCACCGGTCAAGCGCTCTCTTTGTCGCCGACTGTCTCCTCTCGTACCACGCGGACCGCATCATGTGTCAACGATTGCTCATTTCGACTCCGTTAGAAGAAGCTTGCATATAACACAGCCACACGGACCAAAATACGATTTAATTATATTAATAGTACTGTGTACATCGTATCATGCGGACTATAAGAAATGCACCCGAAAGTAAGACGCGTCTCAAACTTTGTGATCTTATCTCAATAAAGCGATGCAAATAATGCCACGCACGCACGCGCACGTAATGCTACCGGATTATAAGACGCACCTCCAACTTGTGAACCATCATGGTCACTCTATTGCTTCACAACGGCCTCCCCACGCCGCGTTGGTGAATGGGGGAATGTTTGGCCATACTTCCCCACGCCGGTAAGCGCGAGTTTGTGAATGATGGGGGGGGGGGGGGAGAGAGGGAGGGGGGTGAGTGGGGATCTTCCAGGACGGGCTCAGGCATCACGCGCCACTCACGTTCGCCGTGACCAGGAACCCCAATGCAGCTTCATAGCCCCGGTTCATTGAGCAACGCGCTAACCACTGGCCTGGATCAATTGCTCCTGCCGCTGCTGCTGCTGAGCCCCAGAATGCATGTATGTATGTATGTTGAACTTCTTTCGCGCCGTACGTAGCCAACCGTGCAGAGTCGCCTTGCCCGCAGCCAGCTGCTGCCCGACGTCGCTGGGTGGTTGACGCCCACGTGGCTGATGGACTCTAAACACTACTTTTTAGATTGGCTTTCCCCCTCCTCCCCCCGTAAGATAAATGTTAGACTTGTACATAAAGATTGTGTTATTTGGGGTTGGATTGGTGGTGGGGGGAGGGGAGTTGGGGGAGAGGTGGTGACGCTCTGGGTTCTGTGGGCTCCCCGCACACTCCACTAAGTGTATGCGCGCCGCGCACAGAAGGGCCCTTGAAGAGAAACAATCGCCGTGTTTTATCTCCTCCCCCCCCAACCCTCCTCCTCGCCTTTATTCGCATTCTTCTTCATATAAGTCGCCTCTTTTCAGCCCGCTCTCTCGAGCCTCGGTGGGCGGGAGCGAGGCTGAATGACCGCGGCTTGCCTGCCACACAGAGGGAGATGCTTTTCACAGAGACCCCCGTTTCTCCCCGTCTCTCTCGCTCTGTTTCTCTCTCTCTCTCCCCCCGTGTCTCTCTCGCTGCCCCTCGTCTCTCTCCTGTCTCTCTCCCCGTGCATCTCCCTCCCCGGCTTATTGCCTCTCTTTTTTTTTACGATCAGTGGAAACAAGAAGATGCTCGGTGTAGTCGGCACTTTGTTTCGTTCATCATTTCGTAATTTTTTTTTAAATAATAACTTTGCTTTATGTAAACCCCCACCTCTCGCTCACTCTCGTTCTGCACGCAGCCCTTCTAGCAGTCCGACGGCCTCCGATGGGTAGCTCATAACTGCATGCAGTCCTCCCCGTCATCTGCCACCGAGCACACGGCCTCCTCCATCGCCCACTGTGCCTCTCACACCATTCATTCCCTACATCTCTCTGAAAGCCAGCATCTCTCTCCATCCGCATCTATGTGTGCCTCTCCACTTGTATATCTTCCTGCATCTATTGTTGTTTCTCTCTCTCCACGTGCATCTCGCTCACTCTCCCCTTGCCTCTATCTCTTCCTCCCCCTCTCTTTTCCTCTCCCTTCACGTGTGTCTCCCTCCCCCCTCCTCCGTCTCTCCTTGCCTCTCGCCATCCGTCGTCTTTTACTCGGCGGCGACGCTACCCGGTGCGCAGGCGGTGCAACTGCACCTGGGCTCTCGGGCCGGAGGAGCCCATGGCAGCCACGAGACGCCACTGGATCCGTTCCCCCAACTTGCCACTCTCAATGCAGCCGCGTCCGCACGCTCACGGCATGCACTGCTGTCAGCTCTTGTCTACGATCAAAGACAACGAACTTTTGGGGCAAGTGCTGCTAGCGAGTAGCATCTATGAAGGCCGGCACGGCACACACGGGAGAGGGTGGCAAGCACTACGCCCGAACGCCTTTGTCTCCCCAGTGGCGATGCTTACTACACACCGCACCAGGTACTCATTTGAGGCCGAGTCGACCTAGGGGAGGCCGAGGAATGGTTGAAGATATTCGTCGCTGATGTTGGTGGCCGTGAGTGGGAATCGAACTCGGGTCGCCGGGCGCATTGTGCGCTAACCACTGCGCCACCGCTCCACCCATTCATAGAAATTGTTTAGTTTGAAGGGGGGTGGGGGGGGGTGATTGAGAGGCGATGGGTGGAGGTGAAGGGGTCGTATTTTAGTCTCTTTCAAAGGAATTCACAAGCGGCCTCCACGATACCCTCAATGAACTCTTCTCGACACAAGCCAGACCCTGTTACTGAACATCACCGCTGCTTTGCTGTGCCTAAGGTCTCATCGTCATCATCCTCATCAGCCATGATCGATCCGCCGCTGGATGAAGGCCTCGCCAAGCCACCGTCACCTCTCACGATCCTGCGATGGATCAATCCACCCAAGAGTCTAACGGCCAAAAATTTGTATCAAATACCGGAGTTCGATTCGCGGCCACGGGTAGCAGCGTGAGTGTAGAGTGACATCTGAACTGGTTGCTGGCTCTGTCCGCTTCACTAAAACCGAAATGACCAGCGTGGTGAAGTATGGTCAAACAACCCCCATGACCGACCCGGCGTGGTGAAGCCTTCATCGCGGAGTGGATTGAGCTGTAAATGGTTATCCTCATAAAGGCAACGAATGGGTGGAGTTGGGTGGAGTTGGGGGGCTAAATGTCACCCGGAACAGTTTAGAACAGACCGACGACAAGAACGGCGAGGCAACGCATCTAATAAATATTTTAAAGAATCATGTTCATAGCATTATAGCAATATAAAGCGTGCAACATTATATGATCATTATGCAAAGGCGTACCATGAACTTTAGTGGTAGTGCCTTACGCCGATAATCACTACTCCAAGACTTTTCCCGACAAAAACCGAGTGAGAAATTAAACCCTGGCGGAGGTCACACACCGTGCGTTGTCCACAGCCCTTTGTCAACTCACTGTCGCGAGACTCACTCCGCACGGGGTCACACACACACACGGCGGTGGCGGTGGGGGGG